CCCCAGTGAGGGCTGGGGGCGTGGTCAGGGTGGAGCCCCGCCCAGAATCCCCAGTGAGGGGCTGGGGGCGTGGTCAGGGTGGAGCCCCGCCTAGAATCCCCCAGTGAGGGCCTGGGGGCGTGGTCAGGGGTGGAGCCCCGCCTAGAATCCCCCAGTGAGGGCCGGGGGCGTGGTCAGGGTGGAGGCCCGCCCAGAACCCCCCAGTGAGGGCTGGGGGCGTGGTCAGGGTGGATCACCTTCCTCCGTTGGTGATGAAGAGTGGGATGCACCACCTGCTCAGTAGGGGTCAGAGGAAGTGCTGCAGCCCCTTGCCCAGGAGGTGACCTCCCACAAGCCGATGAGCGGTCCCGGGACGGGGTCAGTCGGCTCCTCCACGTCCGCCTCCAGTCCTGTGTTTGGAGCACTTGTCTGCAGGGTTCACCTGGACCGGGCTGTCCCGTGGTCACCCAGCCGATGGCGTCCGTCCTTCTCCTCGGCCCCGGGGCTGCTTCCGACGACAGGCGGGTGGCAGGTCGCGGTGTGGGCTGCAGCCCCTGCCGGCCCTGGCTGGCGAGCGTAACCGTTAAATCCGTGTCCGTGCTCCCACACCACCTCCGTGCCCGGAAGCCCGTCCTTGTGACCAAAGCCCCCCGACCCCGAAGTCCAACTCCCCCCAGTCGTTTATTCTTGTGGCCCAGGCCGGCCTCCAACTTGTGGCAATCCCACTGCCTCGGATTTGCCGCTGCTGGGCTGCACGGCACACATTCGATTTTGCCGCGTGTCGGGAGGGTTCGGCCCGGTTTCCCCACCCCCTGGTCCCGCACAGCGGCCTCCGGGCGGCCTCCTGGCCACGGGGGCCGTGTCCCCCACCCCCCAGCCCCGACCCACTCACCAGCCTCCGCGTGGCCCGGGCCGGGGCAGCGGTGCGTGCAGAGATTGATAGCGGCAGCCGCGGCGCCCCGCCCCGCGCCCCTGATTGGCCTCGGGCTACACTGCACTGTGATTGGGTGGCTCTCCCGGGCCCCGCCCTCCGCGGCCTGACGGACAGGTGCCGGGCTCAGCTCTGAACCAGACTCCCCTCGGCCCGCCCCTGGAGCCTTGATTGACAGCCCTCTGCTGGCACGTGATCTCTGCGCCCGGGCTAACCTGGAGGCCCCTGGGCTCCCCCTCCCCGCCGGCTTCCCGTTGAGCCGGCCCCGGAGGGCTGGGCTGGCGCTCGGGGAGCGGTGCAGGGCGGTCGGCGTCGGAGCACAGTCCGGGCCCCACGCCGCGGACGCCCCGGCCTGTAGGGTCACCCACACCGCATGGGCGCCGGGGGACGATCCCCAGACCCGCAGACGAGTGCCGTGGGCCGGTGGGGCTCGTTCAGGCCTCTCGGCCGCGGGGACACAGCGGAGGGGGCCGGGGTCGGTGCCTGGGCTGGGCGCCGGGGGCGGGGGTGGCCCTGGGGTGCGCAGGTGCCGTGAGACCCTGCGTGAACCACAGGGGGGAAAAGGGGCTCCAGGGACGGACACGGCGGGGGGGGCTAGCCTGGTCTCCGCGCGCGCGCATGGGACCCGGTGCAGAGCCCGCCTTTGTGCAGAGCTGGCGTGGGGACGCGGCAGTCACCCCTCCCGGGGCTCGGGTGCACACACAGGCCCGCGCGCACGGACTTCACTTCATCTCTGTGTGACCCAGGGAACCCCTCCGCCTGCGGGCGCCGGGGCCTGACCCGGGTCACACGCTGGGCGGCGGACACCCGCACCCTGCACCCCGGTCACCCCGCGGGCGGCGGACACCCGCACCCAGGGCCGCCTCTCTTATTTATTTTTAGTATTTATTCGCTTAGAGCCGCCCTCTCTTATTTATTTTGATATTTATTCGCTCTTAGGCGCGCGCTCCTCCAGGCAGCGCCGCCCACACCGGCCGCTGCCCCTGGCGCTGCCCGCGGGTCCCGGGCGCCGCGCTCGCGCGCATGCGCAGCTCGGTCGCCGCCGGTTCGCATGGAAACCGCACCGTGGCGTCCCCCCGCCCCCCACACCACAGCCAAACCCGCCGCTCGCGCCTGCCAGCCGCGGTACCGGAAGTTCCTTCCCTGCCCCTGACCTCCGTCCTCGACCTCTGACGTTCGGGTCGTAGGCGTGGCCACCGCGTGCGCGCGTCAGTCAGAAAAGAACTAAGACCGGGGCGGCCGCGCAACACGTTTCCGCTTCCGGCCACCTTACAGTCGGCCCTGTCATCCGATTCCGGTCAGTCTCAGCATCCAGCCCAGGTTCCCCCTGGCTTCCGGTTTCGGTCCGGAAGAATTTCCGATTGTCTAACCGGGACCGGAAGCGGAAGTGAGTCTGACTGATTGGTGAACTCTTGACGGTGGGCGGGGCCGCCCAACGCTCCACTGCCGACCCCGGAGCCGCTAGTGCCCGCCTCCGCTTGAATGCGATTGGAGGGCACGGCTGTCAAAAGCCACCGGAAGCGGATTGGCGGGTGGGCGGGGTTAGCTCTGGCGCCGCCCCCCGTGCGCGGCTGTGAGCAGATCCGGCGCGGCGGGTCTCTTCCCGGTCCCCGGATGCCCGGATGATCAGCTCCGCTCGGTGCTCGGCACGTGGCCACGCCTGCCGCCCGGCCTGGGCCCCGCAGTTCGGTCCCGGGCGGTGCGCGTTGGCACCTGAGCCCCGCAGGCGTCGACTCTGACGTCCTCGGGGTCTCTGCGGCGCTCGCGCCCACGCATGCGCTCAGACTCGATTGATGCGGCGTGAGGGAGCCCAGCGGTTAGCGCACCGGCCACCCGCAGGGTCCCGGGTTCGTCTCCCGGCAGGGTCCCTGCTCATTGTGCACAGACGCGCAGGTCTCACACGCACAGCACACACACGCACAGCGCGCACACGCACAGCACACACACACACAGCACACACGCACAGCACACACACGCACAGCACACACACGCACAGCACACACACGCACAGCGCGCACACGCACAGCACACACACGCACAGCACACACACGCACCGCGCACACACGCACAGCACACACACGCACAGCACACACACGCACCGCGCACACACGCACAGCACACACACGCACAGCACACACACGCACAGCGCGCACACGCACAGCACACACACGCACAGCACACACGCACAGCACACACAC